TACAAACTCAGTGTTGCCTCCTGAATCAAAACATCCCATTATCCTCCCTTCCACCGGAAAATTAACTGATTTGATTATCCAAGACGCTCATCGTGAAACTCTCCATGGTGGAGCACGACTCACGCTAGCCTACTTACGTCTCAAGTACTGGATTGTAGGTGGAAATAGAACTGTGAAAAGGGTATTAAGGCAGTGCATACGATGCCACCGTTTCAAGACTACACGAAACACGCAACTAATGGCTGACTTACCAAAGGAACGAGTGACACCATCAAGACCTTTTACAAATACCGGAGTAGACTTCACTGGACACGTCGACATAAAGATCAACAAGGGGAGAGGCGTAAAAACGTGCAAGGCCTATATAGCCATCTTCATTTGTATGGTTACAAAAGCGGTACACCTGGAGTTAGTGTCTGACCTGACTACTGAAACCTTTTGTGCCGCGTTTAAACGAATGTGCGCGCGCAGGGGTACGCCAAAGCGTATGTTTTCCGACAACGGAACTAATTTTGTCGGTGCCGCAAGACTACTGCAAGAGGACTTTGAACAAAACAAAACTTTCAAAAGTACTGAGTTTTACGACGAGATAAATAGCTTGAAGATAGATTGGCATTTTAACGCCCCTTTATGGCCATCTGCTGGAGGACTCTGGGAGGCCGCCGTTAAGTCCATGAAGTATCATTTAAAGCGAGTTCTAGGGGAGCAAAAGCTAACTTATGAACAGTTTGCCACTCTTTTGACTCAAATCGAAGCATGCTTAAATTCACGTCCACTTTGCCCACTATCGGAAGACGTTGAAGACCTAGACTGCTTAACGCCTGGTCACTTCCTTGTTGGTGGCCCCTTGCTGTCTATGTCAAAAGAGGAAAAGGACTTCAATGAGTACGATTTGAGAAATAGATGGAAACTGGTGGAGCAACTTAACTTACACATCTGGAAACGGTGGTCAAATGAATACCTACAACAATTACAAGTTCGCAGTAAATGGCAACAAGCAAAGGAGAATTTAACCGTTGGGGACATGGTTTTAGTAAAAGACGAAAATTTACCTCCAGGCAGGTGGGCCCTCGGAAGAGTGATAGAACTCCATCCGGGGACTGACGGAAATGTTCGAGTTGTCACCCTAAAAACCAAGCGGGGGCTAGTAAAACGACCCATTGTGAAACTGTCACCTTTACCGCTACACCATACCTTACAAAAAACGGAATTAACAGAAGATGGGAGCGGCAAACAAGAGGAGTCTCAACCTGAAAACCAAAAAGGACAGAAAGATCGCAGGATACGTAAACCTAATTTACTCTCTCTGTTTTTAATTTCTATGATGACGATTATGGGAATCACTCAAGCGACGCCTGTTACTTCAAGCAGTTACAAAGTGACATCAATAATGAACAATCAACCAATATACTTCGACGAAGCCGGAAAACTGCAACTTGTACACGACGAATGGACGCTATTAATTTATTTTAACTTAACTTCATATTGGAAAACTACGAGCAAGATAACGCAGTACGTCGATCAAGTAGATACACTTTGCCAACGAATAGTTCATGAGTACTCACCGTGCGAAGCCGTTGTCGACCACCTACGTTATGAGTTGAACCACCTTATTGAATACAATTCTATGTTATTATCGCAACGATCAAGAAAAAGGAGAGGTTATTTCGATGGGATCGGCAAATTAGCTGGGACACTATTCGGCGTGCTCGATGTAGATTTCGCCCATAAATATGAACAGGATATCCAATACTTGCAAGCAAGTGATAACTACTTACTGCAACTAATGAAAAATCAAACTCTGATTGTAGAAGCAGAAAACAGTATGATTAAACGAAGCTCGGAATTTATGGATAAACAATTCAGAACAGTAGAGGTTTACATGAGTCAGATTACCCAAGAGATTACAAGAATAGAAAACAGAGCGCAAATATTATATACGATAAGTGACATCCATTCTGCCGCTATGACAACAACTTTAATTCTAAGCGATTTACATAGAATTCAAGAAATGCTGATTAATACTTTAGCAGACATCTACAGAGGTCATTTAGACACACACCTGTTGTCTACATCTCAACTGATTAATCAATTAAATATTATATCAGGGAAACTACCCCAAGGACTTTCTTTGCCGATTAAAGATATGCAAACAGATTTTCAGGTGATATATCAACTAATTCACGTGAAGGCTAGAATTACAAATAACTTTTTGCTATTTGAATTACACATTCCTTTACTGAGCGACGAAGACTACCAAATATATCGTGTTATTCCGATACCATTTATGAGACAAGGACACCTAAAGCTTGTTAAACCATTTTCGGATTTCATCGCTATCAACCTTATAAAAAATTCTTATATAACATTAAAAGAAGAAGATATGCACCATTGCACCTCATACGGAGAAGATGAGTACTCCTGCATCTCGCGACAACCCGTCTACAGTTTACACGATAAAAATGCACCATGTGAGACGAAAGTATTTAGCCAGCAAACGTCACTATCATGCGTCATTAATGACATAACTTGTAAGGAGAGCTGGATTAAATTACACAAACCTAACCTTTGGTTGTTTACGTTGTGCGATAAGCAGCTGATGCGCATAATATGCAGCGATCAGGTGACACCAGCGGTCATTGACGGAACAGGTGTGATTGCCTTGAAACCTAAATGCCTATTACAGAAAAAAGATGCCACAATATTTACGTACAATCACTTAGGAAGTAAGGTAAATACGGGCGTGGATATAGAAGTACCTATAATAAACACGACAATAAATAAGATGTTTGATCTCGGCTGGAGGAACGTTCAGTTGAATATCACTGAATTCAACAATGCAGCAGATTTAGAAAAAATTGAGCGTCAAATCTCTAATCTAAAACAACATGAAGTATTACCTGAATCTTCAGGTATGTCACCGCACGACGTGTATTTTTACTCCGCTACTACTGTGCTGTTGGTAGGACTGGCTGTAGCTGGTGTCTACTTTATCATTAAAAAACTAAGGATAAGCACGAATCAGAATTCTATGAAAGTGGATACTAACATGGTGCAAGACAAGAGAGCAGACAAAGAAGAAGTTAACATCGAGATGCGAGAGATGCGGAGCTCGACAAGACATGAACCTAGAAAGGGATTTAGTTTTGACGAAATACCATCCTATTAATTTTGATTATGTTTACAGTTTTGATTAGTTAGTTTTTCTTTATTTTACAATTTAAATTTTATACTTAATCTTTTTCTATGTACTGGTTGCCCATCTGATCTTTCGTTTACTACTCAACTCAATCTCTTCCCTTGGGAGCATGTACGGTTCACGTACAACGAGTTGGTTGCTGACTATGCGACCTCGATTAGATATAAACAACATTCACGACACATTAACGTTAGTTGAAAATTTGCAATTATCACGATTGACACAGATTGGCATCCAACTTATAATTTACTTGTACTTCTAAGAAATAAACTATTTTTTCGTGCTCAACTGTGGTTTACCGTCAACTCACCAAAATAACTAATACTAAGCTCTGAGCCGTACAACATTTCTCAATTAAATCGCTGTCGCTCATATTTTCTACCATACTTTAAACTGTAAGCCGCTTCCGCACAATCTGTGGGACAACACCTAATTGGTCCCTTAGCGTCCAATAGGACTTAAAAATGACACAAACTTATCTTCGAATAATGAATAATAATATATTATTTTCATCAAGAAGTGTATTTTCATTTGTTATTATTCTAAAGGGAATTTTCTTAAGCTTTCATGTAAATTAAAGATAATATTTTATGGAATTTTATTTTTATTAGTGGTTGGGAGTGAGGTAAATAGCTTTATATATTTCCTGAAAGGATTTGGCGTGCAATATCACTACATAGCACACATAAAACAAATTCGTTTTCTCTGTCCCTATATCCCTATGTACGCTCTATCCTTTAAAACTATGAATCTCCTTTAACGACGTATTTTAATGTGGTTTTTTTAATAGTTAGAGTGATTGAAGAGGAAGGTTTATATGTGTAAGAACGTTGCTTTAAATAATGGTGAAATTTAGTATCAACATTACACTCGTCAAAAAGCGGGGCGGGTTGCTAGTTGTCTATAAATGTAAATAGGAAGTGTTTCATTGAAATGAAATGACATCTTTATTTCTGATGCATATAAATTAGGTTGCAGCAGTGGTAGCATTATCATTTAATTTTGTCTTCGTCTACATCAAAGGCACTTTTAAACGTTAAACAAAACTTGAAGATTGAAAATTTCAGTCTGTCCGTCTGTCCTCTAGTGAAGCTATTTGCTCGTTCCAAAGTGTAGATTCCGATGGAGAAGAACGAGCAAGAAACTCCATGGTTACTCTTTTTCAATCAATTTTTTCGTTACGTCATAAATTGGTCCCTTGTTTTTTTTGGTTGTATTCATTTGACGATTACTTTAAGTTATTAATTTTAAATATATTATGGTTGTTTTCTAAGAAATAAATATGTTAAGTTTTTACGTTAGAGTTACAAGTTTGATATCTGGAACTGTTTATAAATGTTATTTTATAATATTTTTTCATTAGGTCACTTTATGTTTTTTAGTTTCTACTTTACGTTTCTTTTTGTCCCTTTTTGAGCTTTTTTAATATTTAATACTTGTGATTTTGCAGTATGCACATATTGTTACGTTACTATCTAGATCAAAACCTTTAGTTTTTAAGCTAATAATATTTGACTGTAATGTGTTTTTTGCATGAAATAAATAAATAAATAAAAAATAAAATTAGGACATATATGTTACTGTAATATAAAGCATGTATAGTAATTACAATGTTACATCCTTCTTAGTGGTCTCCACTACAAGAAGTTAAACTAATCTGTTAACTTCTTCTCGACTAGTTTCAAGCCATGCTAGAGGCCCATATTCATGAGCAGCATTCCGCGACACGCGACTGCGCGACTGTCGTGCTGCTACTCAAGCCAGTATTTTGTGTGCGAAAAAATACTATTTATTCCTTTATTCATTTAGGTGGTGGACTTACCCAGAATGGAACGAGACCCTTTTCCTTGTCGCTGGCGATGGCTTTCTCCAGCTGATCTCCCTTCATGCTTTGGTTCTCATCAGACTCGACGTACCTCATGCGGACCAGACCTGGTTGAAGAAATAGGAGATGATGTAGACCATCCTGACATTCGAATTGGTTAAGACAGCGACTTAAAAGGTTTTGAACATAATAAAGTTTCTATAGATCTATATGTTTTTTTTTGTCAGGTTAAAATAATCAAATGACTTCTCCCGCCCAGGCTAAGACGAGAGGGAGTGTCAGACTCTTACTGACTAGAAAATTTCCTCAAATCCAGGTATTAACTGAATGTGTGTTATGCATAAAAAAAAACAAGTATAGGTTTTTAATCAATGATCCAAATTCAAATTTTCTTCGAATCAATGAGACCACCACTCACCAATGAGACCAGCTTTCTCCACGGAAGAATGGGCCTGGTCAGAGCAGTAGCAGATCAGGTGGCCCAGGAGTTCAGCTGACTGGACATCAGGGTTCAGCTTAGAGAGCTCCATGAGAGCCCTGGTACGAGCTGCCAGTAGACTCACGAGGGTTGCTTCACTGGCAGTGGTCTAAATGAGAAAAATAATTATTACTAGCTCTTACTCGACTTTGTTCTCGTAGAATTGTGACTTCCTGAAGTATTTTGGTTTAAAAACTATCTTTTACCCTTTCTCGAGTTCTAAACTATGTCTGTACCAAATTTAACACAAATAGGTTCAGTAGTTTAGGCGTGAAGAAAAGACAGGCAGACAGACAGACAGAGTTACTTTCGCATTTATAATATTAGTTTCGATGATCAATAATGAAACCATTATCTGAAATGGCTGCACAGTTGGTGCGGTGGCTGGGCAATTGGCTGCCGTGCAAAGTGTCGCGGGTTCGATTCCCGCACGGAACAACTCTTTGTTTGATCTACAAATTGTTGTTCAGTGTGTGATGTGTATGTGAATTTGTATGTTTCCCACGACACAGGAGATAATCCTACTGTGGATCAATGTTTAAAAAAAAGAATTCTTTGACTGCACGTTTCGATGCAGATGGTTGGGCAACTCTATGAGTTCTTACCGCACGAAACAACTTTTTGTTTGATCCACAAATTGTTGTTCAGAGTCAGGGTGTAATGTGTAGATAAATTAGTTTTTTAACGCACCCACGACACAGGATCAGACAGATTTGAGGTAGATAGATTTGACCCTGAATTAACACATAAACTAAAACTTTTAAGCCACTGGCGGCACCTAGTAAGAATTATATGGACAAGTTTGTAATGACAAATTTTAATGAAAAAAACACTATATCTGAAGACAGTTATGTGGAAGACTAGACATAACTTGCAGCTTTACTTTTAAATAATAAGGGTCAAGTCCCTAGACATAGTTTGTTAAATCTTTTTTAATTCATCAAACCTCAACGTCGAACGCCTCAACGGCGATCGCGTACCTTTTTATTGATTTTTTTTTTAAAGTGTCTCACTTTAGGATTTTCTCCTGTATTGTGGTTGCGTTTACAAACATACAATTTCATATACACATCACACCCAGACCCGAAACAACAATTTGTGGATCACACAAAGTGTTGTTCCGTGCGGGAATCGAACCCGCGACACGTTGCACAGCAGCCAGTTGCCCAGCCACCGCGCCAACGGTGCAGCCAATTATTGTATTATTATTCTATTTTGTCTCGAATTACCACGGTTGAAAGGTTAACCTTTAACAGCATACCTTTGAAAAGCATATCCCTACCATCTCACCTGAATCACTCCTCCACCAGGGCTATCGTTCTTCTCATTGAGGAAGCAGTCAGGTAGACCCAGGAGCTTGCCAAGCCAGTTCATTGCTATGGTCTCCAGCTCCGTGCCAGCTGGTGATGATGCCTGTTCAAAGGTATAAAGGTGTTTATAAAGACTGATATTTTAAAGGGCTATTATTTCAAGAGACAGAGGATATGGGTAGAATGTACCTACGCAATTGTCACACAATATTTCAAATAAAAAATCATGGAAAACTGCTAAACCGATTTCAATGAAACTTTGTATTCTTACGCAATCATCATCATCATCATCATCAGCCGGAAGACGTCCACTGCTGGACAAAGGCCTCCCCCTTAGCTCTCCACGTCGAACGACAAGTTGCCACCTGCATCCATTGGCTCCCCGCGACTCTGACGATGTCGTCGGTCTACCTAGCGGGAGGCCTGCCCACACTACGTTTTCCGGTCCTTGGTCGCCACTCTAGCACTTTTCGGGCGCATCGACCGTCCGTCTTTCGAACGAAATACGCAATATATCAAGGTATTTTTTGTGAGGGGAAAAATCATCGAATGACTTCAACGTCACTCCGTTATTTCTTCAGCTCCAGGCCACGGTCGCTGATCATTATTGTTTTTTTATGTAATAGATCGACAAACAAGCAGACGGATTATGTATGTAAATATGTATGATGGTAAATAATCAGCGTCGCCCATGGACACCCGCAACGGAGGAGTTACGAGTGCGTTACCGACCTTTTAGGGATTAGGATTGGGCCTCCGGTAACCTCACTCACACGGCGAAACACAACGCTGTGGTTGTTACACGCCGGTTTTATCACTCAGGTCGAGCCTACCTATTCGTGCCGAAGCATGGTTCTCCCACACTTAACAAGAAGTCCTACATTTATTTCTTTAAATATCATTAGTTACACAGTATGTGACAGAACTCATATTTCATTTTTATTAAAAGTTACTTCACACTGTTATTGTCTACTGTATCATCGTCAAAAATGTGCCCCGGAGTTAATCGTGCGATTAGTCGCATTCAATTGGGTAGTTTCCTAGGTCAAAAATAAATAATTGCGATATTTCAATACAATCAAATATCGAAAAATAACTATACTTTTATTCATCGATCGATCGATACACTAAGTTTTAGATTTTTTTTAGCTAATTATTATGAAATAAGTAAGCTATTTGACGCAAAAATGTTATGACGTCATAGCTCAGTTTTTCATACAAATTTCATAGAAAAGTGTCGTTTTTGAAGTTTGGATAAAAGTATTGAATTTGACTAGTTGGAAACTACCGAATTTCTTTCTTCTGGTATTTCCCATCAGCATTTACTTTTAGCTGTCATCAGCTAAAAATGATACAAATTGGTAGACATTTTTTTTTAATCTATTGTCTAAAACTGTCATAGTACAGTCTTGAATTAACATTTAGGCTGGATTTTTAATTATAATTATAATCGATTATATCCCTATATATTGATTTTGATGCGGTTTTTTAATAGATTGGGTGATCAAAGAGGAAGGTTTTTACGTATAATAACATCCATTAAATAGTGGAGAAATTTAGTATTAGCATTGCACCTGTATGAAGCCGAGGCAGGTCGCCAGTTAACAATAAAAATACAAATTTGTAGTATTGCGAAACATTACTGAATAAAGCTATGATTGTTTTTCAGTATTTTCATAGTTTTATAAATTGAAATAATTTATTTTTGAAAGAGGAAACTGTTGTATTATCTGTGATTACTAATACTAATCAGTGTCGCACTAGAACTGTCAATGTCGTCATAATTATCACTATAAAGAGAGTGGCCGAGCGAGTGTCGGCCATTGACAATGTAACTCTGGTGTAGTGAGCTGCCCGACTGTGTACTGTGTAATTAAAGTCAAGTATCCAAGCTCCATGTCTTTTAATCATATTACATGGTGTCAGAAGTGGGATTCGAACCCACGCCCTCATAGCAAAGATCCTAATCAACTCCTTCCCAATCCTTCCCCTTCCCGGACCCTTCCCCAATCCCAAAATCTCCAAATCCCTAATCCCTAAAAGGTCGGCAACGCACTCGTAACTCCTCCGTTGCGGGTGTCCATGGGCGGCGTTGATTGCTTACCATCAGGTAATCCGCCTGCTCGTTTGCCGACTTATTAAATTAAAAAAAATTACGTTAGGACGAACGAACCAACCTACAGACCTATTTTTTGACGTTTTTTAGCAACATATAGGTTGCTTATGGGTACGCATTCTCTTTCATAGGTCGCATTATGGTTTACCACCAGGCGTGATAGCGGCCAAATACCTGTCCATCTATACTTATTATTTTTTATATTCTTCTTATATATAAAAATAGATCGCCAAATGTGTTGATAAGCGCATAACTCAACAACGCCTGGACCAATTTTGCTAATTCTTTTTTTGTTGTGTTTGTCATTGTCAGGAGAAGGTTCTTATCAAAGAAAATATTAGAAAAGTAGAGAGGAAGATTAAGAAAAAGTGACCCTTTGATAGCGAGATAGTTGGACCCGTGCGAAGCGGGGGCGGGCCGCTAGTAATATTGTAAAGGTGAAGAGTTTGTTCGTTTGAAAGCGCTAATCTCAGTAACTACTGGTCCCAAATGAAAAATTCTTTTTGTCTTTAGTAGACCATTTATTGAGGAAGGCTTAAGGCTATAAAACATCACGCTACGATCTATAGGAGCAGTGAGTGAAACCGCGCGAGAGTACCTAGTTATGAAATAAAAAAAAACTATATTTACTTACCCAAGTGAAGCAGAGAACGTTCAGAGCGCTGGACAGCATCTCCCCCATGATGGAGGGGTACGAGGTCAGGGCCGGGAAGTAAGCGTGCATGTGAGGACTTTGCCAGTGCACCAACTGGGGACAAAGAGGAATTAAGTTAAGTGTGGGAGAGCCAAGCTTCGGCACGAATGGGTCGGCTCGACCGGAGTGATACCACAGCCTCACAGAATACCGGCGTGAAACAACCCACAGCGTTGTGTTTCGCCGTGTGAGTGAGGTTATCGAAGCCGAATCCCTCCCCTTCCCCTATCCCTTCCCAATCCTTATATCCGCAACCCCCATCCCCAAAGACCGGCAACGCACTCGTAACTCCTTTGATGTTGCGGGTGTCCATGGGCGGCGCCAATTGCTTACCATCAGGTAATCCGTCTGCTCGTTTGCCGACTTATACCATAAAAAAAGTCCTATCTTATCTTTGGAAGAATTTATTCTTCTTCTTTTGGGCGATCTTAGAAGAATACTCAATTATTTTTGAATATAGATTTGAATATATATATATATAAATATCAATGTTATAACTCAACAATGCCTTTAACGATTTGGCTAATTTTGGTCTTGAATTATTCGCAGAAGTCCAGGAAAGGTTTGTAAGTAGAGAAAATAAAATAAAAAAATATTGAAAAAGTGTAAAATTGGCACCCAGGCGGGCGGAGCCGCTGGCGACCGCTTGTTGTAGTACATACCTATATTTGTATAATTGTTTCGAATGATCGAATTAAATTAGTTTACTGCTCGGCCAAACTAATTTGAACCTTAATAACTCGATTTTAAACTCAAAATTCTTTTTTCACTATGTCTCAGTGAGCTTAGAATCAGATTCTCAGCAAGTCAGCAACTCCTTTAACGATTATTCGGCCAGTAGCATAAAAATTTTGCCGCCATTTTCTTTCCTTGCCCTACACTTAGATTTTCTACTTTGTCGTTGGTGTGTTTACAAACATACAATTTGACATACACATCACACCCAGACTCAGAACAACAATCTACGGATCACACAAAGAGTTATTCCGTGCGGTAATCGACCGCGACACGTTGCACGGCAGCCAGTCGCCCAGCCACCGCACCAACCGTGCAGTCGAAATGCATTGTAAATACTTCTTAAAAACCATAAACTTTTATAAATACTTCTATAAGAAGTATACTTACTAATATTCTTCTAACACAAATAGAACACCATTTAAAATAAATAAAAAAGGACCCCAAAATATTCGAATCCATTAAACAATAGTCCTAATTTTTGTATACTCCTCCTATCTGTCTTAAATAATAACTACATTATACATTCATGTAGCATAATACTAAATTTATAAATGGTAGCCCATATCAAATTTTTATTTTTTATTTTATTTCATTTAGTTAATACTTTACTTCGATTAATACTGTGGTCCTACCTATGTTAATTTAATTAGTTCTAATTTTAATTTCTATATATTTTGACTGTATAAACGCATAATTTTTAGAATGTTGGTTAGCTCGTAACTGGCTAATGTATATGATCTACTGCCTATAACCAATACTTTAAACCACTTTGTATAGATAAGCTATGAGCCTACCTTATAATAAATAAATAAACACTTTACAAAAACCACAATCAAAATGATTGTAAGAAAAATGTAATCAAAACTCTTAAAACTCTACTTACTCCAGGCATGATATGCTCATCCACATCTTTGAAGATTTCATCCCACTTCTCAGGAGTTTGGGGGGCTTCCTTCGGCAGCAGCTTGTGAAGGTAGCCTGGCTGCACGCTGGGGTACACCCGACGGTCGCGAATGTTCTCCAAGTAGTCAGCTATGTAGTCCACCATCTCCTTGGCTGAGTAGGAAAAGAATTTTCGTAATTTTCTTTGACGAAGGGTCAATTTGTAGCGAAGGCTACGCTTCGGCACAAATGGAATAATTTCACGGCCTTACAGAAACCATCATGAAGCAAAGCTTGGGTTGTGTTACACCATGAGTGAGGTTACAGAAGACCATATCCTTCTTAACTTCTCCTATTCAAATCTAATCCCCACAAGGCCGGCAACTAATAGGCGACGCGCTTATGCTTTCAGGTAATACGGATGCTCATTTGACGTACTCATAAAAACGCTAATGCAATAAAAACTTAATTGTTAAAACGAGTTGAATTATTGTACATTACGAATATATGATATTGAATATACGTATATGAACCAAATGTAATTTATTTAATTCTAAAATGCAACTTAAAATTGAAATTATACCACAATGTGGCCTGAAAGCCTATTGTAGCCCAGCTTGGTTGTATTTCATTTGAGAATTTTATCAAATGACTTAAAACCACCCGGTTACTTCTGGACGAATAGGCGCCATGGTTAAATATAGTAATCATAAAAGCGATAATCCGATCAGGGCAGCAGATCTATGTAATATACATTTCAGGTTTCCGATAAAAAAGGTTACCCAAAAATCTATTCCAAATCTTCAAAAATATGTCAATTTTTTTTATTATTCGTAATATAGAAATTTTGGTTAAAAATCTTTAATTTTTATCCAAATCTAATTTCTCTACTTAACACACAATCTTCAATACTTAACACAATAAAAAAAAGATTTCAATCAAATTATTCGCCACAAAATTGAAACAGATAAACAAATGAATCATAGAAGAATACGAACCAATCCTCTATACAATTTCTCTTGAAAAAAAGAACAAGATGAAATAAAAAACGAAAGAACTTCTTTAAAGTTTTCTATCGAAGCGCACAAAGAAGTTGATTGTAAAACACTAGACACAGTTGCGTTCTTTGTAGACACATGTGATTGACTTTTTTTCCTTGTTTAAGGATAGACAGAACTGTCACTAATCTCAACTATATTATAGATACTATATTTAAGTGTGGGAGAGCCATGCTTTAGCACGAATGGGTCGGCTCGACTGGAGTGATACCACGGCCTTACTGAAAACCGGCGTGAAACAACCATAGCGTTATGTTTTGCCGTGTGATTAAGGCTACTGGCAGGCCAATCCTTCCCCTGCCCCGATCCCAAAAATGTCGGCAGCGCACTCGTGACTCTCGCTCCCGCACTGCGGGTGTCCATGGGCGGCGCTGATTGCTTACCATCAGGTAATTCGTCCCGGCCTCGCACGGATACAATGCTGATACTAAATTTATCCAGTATTTAATGGATGTTATTATACATGTTACCTTCCTCTTCAATCAGTTTACCTGTTAAAAATAACTGAATCAGAATCGGTTGCGTAGTTTTAAAGATTTAAGCATAGGTACTTAGGGATAGGGACAGAGCAAGCGACTTTGTTTTATACTATGTAGTAAAATAAAGTTTATTATTTCATAAACTCTCTTAGTTTTGTTTACAAAACCAATAAGATTAGTTTTTTACAAACACAGAATTCTTTTTTTTTGTGTAGGCAGCCAATCATCAAAAGTCTCGTGCATGAAAGGTGTGGGTTCGAAACCGCTCAAGTACCAATGTGACTTTTTGACCGAGTTTTATGTACTTTCTATGATTATTTAGACACCACTGATATACGGTGAAGGTAAACATCGTGAGGAAACCTGGACTTATAATTTCTAATTATAAGTTTGAAATCGCCAACCCGCATTGAGCAAGCGTGGTGATTAATGCTCAAACCTTCGTCGTGTGAGAAGAGGCCTTTGCTCAGCAGTGGGCACTTATAGGATGATGATGTGATGTGATGTGAATCATCAAATGACTTGTCTCGCCCAGGGTGAGGCGAGAGGGAGTGTCAGACTCTTACTAACTCTTAAAAAAAACCTCGTTCCTTCTCCTGAGCTTATGGCTTGTTCCTACACCTCAATTAACTGAACATCGACCCCATTGGGTCCCACCTGTGGTGGTCTATTGGCTCTTTGAGGCGCGCGCGAAACGCAACGCGCCGTACTCTCGGATTTGGTTCTGGTATATCCTTGGTCGCCGTCTGCGGACCCAAAACTACATGAAGTTGGGAGGATCTAGAAGGACACTGAATAATTCACCCAGGCATAGCCACGCTACAAGCTAGTGTGTCAATAAATCTAGACGACCTCGCTAGGTATTCTAGACAATATTGGCACTATACATTGCCAGCGCAAACAAAACAATTTATTCTAAAAAGCCAATGTCTCAGTGTTATCAATAAAGTCACAACCATAAAAAAGGATTTACCCTAACTCGCATAAACCGGTATAAAGTAGAATGAACCGGTTACAACCGGATTGAACCGGATCAAATGATACAATAACGATGCGTGAACATGTGAAATGAGGGAACAGTGATTTGATTTTATTGGTTTTGTAGAATCAATTGTGTTGTGTGTGGGATTCGATTCCGGGGCTATTGAATAGTTTAGTTTGATAAGAGATTTATAGTTTAAAAATAGAAAACCAATGCACATGGTTAAATTTTCGTGTTACTTCACGCGTTTAACAAGAACTGATTATTTTTATTTGTTTATTAGCTTTTTCCCGCAACTTCGTTCACGTTTAATAGTGACTTCCTGCAGATTATTGGTAAAAAAACTATCCTATGTCCTTTTTCGAGTTGCAAACTATGTCTGTACCAAATGTCACAGAAATCGATTCAGAAGTTTAGGCATGAAAAATTGACAGACATTCAGACAGAGTTAGGTACTTTCGTATTTATGATATTATTTTGTAATTTTGGATATACAGTAGATGGAGCCACTGTTGACTATAAAACAACCACCGTTTAATAATGGACATACAATTTTGACTGCTACATTGAATAAATTAGATTTAGCGCGATCTAGTGGCAAAAAATTACAACTCTCATTAGCTTCCCCATAGATAAAACTGCATATTTAGATACTGCGCGACCTTTTGTCGAAAAGAACTTCATGACAGAAGCACTGTTGCCATATTTTAATCTCAACGTCATCGTTGAACTGACAAGTGTCATAAGGGTTTGGTCATACTGAGAGCGTGAAGCGATTTTAAACCTTTTCTGCTGTAGGTAAACTAACTCATGGATTACCTGATGGTAAGCAATCAGCGCCGTCCATGGACATTCGAAATACCAAAGGCGTCTTGTAGGTTATTAGAGATTTTAGGATGGGCGGTTTGAGGATTGAGGATTGGAGAGGAGAAGGATTTGGTCCTCCGGTATCCTAACTCATACAGCGACACACAACGTAAATGTAACTTCATGGTATTCTGTGAGGTCGTGGTATCACTTCGGTAAAACGTATCTCTCTCAAGATTTTGGACTTTATATTTTAAATAACCAATGCGATCATCCGATACCTCAGTTGCCACCCTACCCTAACACTATAAAAAATAAGTATACCAGTATTAGTGAAAAAATTCCCATTATAGGTACCTTCTACTCACTGAATATACCAGAAACAGAAATGACCACTTTCAAAAGTGCCTTTTTAATTTTATGCTATCCTTTGAAGTTTTTATATGACTTACTCGTTAAACGGGTAGCGGTTTACTGATGGTAAGCAATTCTCGTCATCTAAGGACATTTGTAATACTTTTTTGTGAAGGGAAAATCATTAAATGACTTCTCCTGCCCAATGTGGAGGGAGTGTCAGATTCTTACTGACTAAGGGCCGTTCCCTCTCCTGCCCTGGGCCGAGGCTGCGGTGGCTAATTGCGCTTGCCCCGCTACCCTGGCTGAACATCAGCCCTATAGGGCCCCGTCTGTGGTGGTCTATTGGCTCTATAAGACGCACGTGGACATTTCTAATACTAAAAGAGTGTTATAAGTGAGTTGCAAGATAGTTTTTTTGGATTTAGGCAAGGCGTTTGACGTAGTAACATTCAATTCTTGAACTTTTAAAAAAAACAATGAGGAAGACCACATATCAATGCCTGCCCATCCACTTGAGGATGCAAGGGCTATATTATACTGGGGCCTGTCTTAGAGCATGAGAAGGAATCGGGGGTTTTTAGTCAATAAGAGTCTGACACTCTCTCTCGCCCCACCCAGTTCGGGAACAGTCTTAGGACGATTTTGCCATCTCAAAACAGTATGAAGCAAAAACCCTTTTGTGCTTCAAAAAATATACGCCTTGGAACAGTAAAAGTGTAACTATTGTTACATAGTATAAAACAAAGTCGCTTTCTCTGTCCCCATATCCCTATGTAAGCTTAAAATCTTTAAAACTACGCAACGGGTTTTGATGCGGTTTAGTAATAGACAGAATAAAGAAAAAGTCGAGGTGGCCCGGAGGTTAAGGAGCCCGCTTCTCATGCATGAGGGATTCGAAACCTGGTAAGTACCAATGTGACTTTTTCCGAGTTATATTATTTTGTACTTTCTATGATTATTTAGACACCACTGACATGCGGTGGAGGTAAACATCGTGAGGAAAACCTCGACTTATAATTTCTAATTATAAGTTTGAAGTCGCCAACCCGCATTGAGCAAGCGTGGTAATTAATGCTCTAACCTTCTCCGTGTGAGAAGAGGCCTTTGCTCAGCAGTGGGCACATAGGCTGATGGTGATAGCATCCGTGCGAAGCCAGGGCGTGTCGCTAGTTTGCATAACTAAGTTACTATAGAAACACAATATTTTATACGACATAAAATTATATCAATTAATCTCATTAATATTCCGATAGCGTACGAAATAATCCGATGCAATAATATGCAGTTACTAAGGACGTTATACCAACTTATGTACAAAGTTATATGAAAATAATAATCACGGTACAATTGTACAATTATTATGTAATTATTATTGATTGCAACTATATTTTTATATCAAGGTTAATTATAGCAAATCATATAATGGAAGATTAACATTTTTTTTATCGCGGGAAAGGCTGTGGTGTATTTGTATGTGAGTCGG